CCCAAGCGAGTAGGTACTAGTAGAATAGTTTCTTTAACACATGGGCAGGTTCTTGGGTGTTAAGTTTAGGGAGATTTGAAAAGCCACAGGAAGGAAGGAAGAGGGACAAGAGTACAAGGCATGCTGTGACTCAGTGGGGTATTACCCATTCTTCCTACTTGGACAAAAATACATACATCCCGGGTCTGGTGCTGCACTAACGCATTGCCATGGTTACATCATTTCACTGCCTCTATTTTAATTTCTGGCTGTTGGCATCCTGTAGTCCTATATTTCGGGGTCTATAAGAATCATAACCTTAAAAAATTAAGGAGGTAGAGTTTTTCATGACATGTGGCAGTAAATATCATAACCTAAAACCTATAGGTTCATAAACTAATTAGTTTTTGCTACTGTTGGACAAGAAGCTTAAACCGCAGGAACTATAGGAGTTTCTAATAGCATTATTGATTAATATTGGCTTGAGTATTTTGTTTTCCGCCATGGTAAACATAGACAAAACAGAGGCTTTCCTCGCAAGTGGATTGTGTAGAATATACTGCCAGTCCCTTGTCTTTGTTTACCATGACTACTTCTGGTACACAGATCAAAGTACTTGAAGACGTGTGCCTCAAGCCAAGCTTTTGAGGTGGTTCTCAGACCTCAGTTAAAAGAATTTAGCCAAAAATTTCCCTTTTTCTTCTAAAGAAGAGTCTTTCCCTGGAGGAAATTCAGAAAAATTTAGAAGCAGAAGACACAAATTCCATGAAGCTAAGGTGTTGAAGCAGCTTGCTGAGAAAGAAGAGCACAAGAAAGAAGTGCTTCAGAAAGCAGCAGCAGAGAAGAGCAAGTGCAGTAAAGTTGCTTGCTCTGGTGCTGATTCACAAGGAGGTTTCTGCATGTAGGACCCTGCTCCAGAGGTTGGACTCCCTGGATTTCCTATCCGTCTCTCAAATTTTTTGTGGTAGTAGTTTGCCCTTTGATCTCAATTCTTTGAAGGATCTAAGAAGAGTTGTTGATTTTTAGTTTGTTCAACTTTTTACTTGTTGCTAGGACAGAGTGACAACTTCCAAGCTACTCATGTGCTGGACTGAAAATAAAGGGCAAAAAAAATGTGGAAGATAAGACAGTGAGATTTAAAAGGGGTAAATTCTTTGTAAAATTGCATAAGTCACTGAATCATTCTAAAAGATTGTGATCTTGAATGGATAAATAGCAACAGCTTCCTGTGGTTTAAATGCTCTGAAAAAAGCAAGGGCATTTCCCACATCTGTGATTGCTCTCACCACTTGGTAGGCAATTAAATTAAGAGGCATTTCATCTCAAGAGAGCTAAACAACAAATATGTTCTTCAAATAAATAAAAGGTTCAACTATTAGTATATTAAATTTAGTTAAATGTTCTTATGATAAAGAATAGGCCTTGATGAAATTGCTGCTTTACTCTTGGTCTAATTAAATTCATTCACACATTCATTCAACAAACTGAGTCCTCAGGATGTGCCAAGCACTGTGCTTGAAAGAAGATTATAAACACTATTCCTGCCTGCAAGTCTCTTAAGCTAGTTAGAGACATGGGCACATAAATGGAAACTTAGAAAATAATATGGCACATAAAATAATAGGTACACAAGGTTATAGAAAGACAAGGAAGGACATCAAATCCAGCCGAGCAGGAAGAGGAAAGGCTTCCAGAACATAGTGGTGCCTGAACAGAATATTAACAAGTCCAGCTTCTTCTCCTATAAATCTCAGACTATGAATAATGTAATTTTTTTTTGTTTCAATCCTCTTTCAGCCAAGTCCTAAAGGCCGTAACTCCTAGAAATAAGAACTAGAAATAACTGGGTAATGTATCAGGGCATGTGTATTTCTGTGAAAATGATGAGGCATCCCCAACAAGCAGGAGGGCTGACATGGAGCAGAGTAGCATTAGAGAAGTGTCGCAGTGTTTGAAGCCTCTGAGATGTTTGTGCATTACAGCTGGAGGGAGGCTGCAGAGGTGTCTGACCAAAAATACATTGAGCATTAGCAAAAAAATATTACTGCCATGATATGGTGATGTTTAGGTGGAATCTATTCACAGAGGAGGAATCCGGGAGGAAATCTGCCCGCCTGAGGTCATGCCGCTATTTACTAGCAGAGATGAAACCAGATGGGGGTCTAGGTCATTTATTTTTTCATTAAAACAACTGAATGATATCTAAGTGCCAGGCTATGTGCAGGGTACAGAGTATGAAATTTATGCACACTGATACTCCCCTACTGCCCCCCACCTGACTGCCTCCCCCAAATATCAGTTTTACTCATACTTTAGATATATCTTCAAAACATATTAAAACATAACCACCTTATCGCTATATTCACCATAATTCATTAATATCATCAACTATCTAGTTGATGTTGAAAGTCTCTAATTATTGTAGACAATTTTTTTATTGTCCAAATAAGATCCAAATCAGATGTAATAACATTGCACATTAAAGGTATCTTTGTTGTCCTTATTTGTTGAAGAAACAAGGTCATTATTAGGTAGAATTCTCCAGTCTGGATTTGCTGTTTGCAACCTGTTTTCATTTAACATTTCTCTACCTTCTGATTTATTTTTTTATTTCCAGGGTCACACAGTCAGTGAGTGGCAGAGACCAGATTAATATTCAATTCTGTTGACTGTTTCATGGTTCCATTAAACAAACTCCTTTCACCTTTCAAATGGTTCAATTAAACAAAAAAATCCAATTTAATCTTAACACACTGGACACATGTTCATTGCTCATAAGTTGTTTGTGAGAATCTTATAGATATGAGCTCTCATTGTAACAGGGTTCTAAGATATTAGAAGGGTGAGGGTCAAGTTATCAACGTTCAGTTTATGAAATATTCTCCAGCACCACCATATGTCACAGCAAGATACACATCACTGCACTTTCCCTCAGGAACTACTGAACAGGACACACAAGAGTCCTGTTAAACGCTAAACTGTGCAGCCCAGGAGAGGGATCAACAATGGGTCAGGACTCCCAGAGGCTTATTTCTTTCCTCCCTCACGCCCCCCCCCCGGCCCCCCGCCCAAGTAACCTGCACATTTATTAGCATCGGGACTGCAACATAACAGTTTCCAGTAAATATGCTTCAGTAAATAGGTTCAGATATGTGAACGACGGGTTCTTATTTCGTCCACTCATTCTGGTTGTAGTCCCAGCAGGCAAAGCAGCCCTGGGCTGACCTTCATGTCCAGCATCCTCTTGGTCTGCTTACTCCTCTTCAAAAGTGAGTGGGATGGGGCCATACATGTAGCGCTTTTCCCAGACTAGAATGAGAGCAGTGAAGCCGACGAAAAACATGGCAGCACCCACAACTGTCTTTCGCTCACTTGTGCTCCTGCTCATTTCAGCAAAGCTCTCATTGAATTTAGTGCGATACAATTCAACTTTTTCATCAACCGATGCACTGCTCCAGGGGTTCTTCTCCGTCTCTTTCACGGCTTCCTGGCTGGCAGAAGGGTTCTGGGCGAGGGCCACATCAGGTAAGGGATAGTCACGTCCATCGACGTAACTCGCCGATCAGGTAGGGTAGAGCAAAGCCCTCATCTTCACAACACTCCCATGTGCTCGTACACACAGCACACAAACCGAAGCGGTTGCTCGCTTGCCAATTAGGCTAAATACTCCAATAGTCAACATTCTGCCGCTGCCGCCCAGCCGCAGCGCTGTGGGCCCTGCAACCGACCTCTACACCCTGGCTGCTCACAACCAGAAGACAGAGAAGGTTTCAAAGATTAGAACAGAGCTCTATCTTAAGGGGTCAGTGGAATTTTTATACTGAGAAGGAAACCGAGGGACACTTCAGCACATGAAAATGGGACCAGATACTAAACCTGACAAGCTCTGGGGAGACCTGCGTGGTGGGCCTGCAAACTCAAGAGACTGAAAGTAACCACGTGACGGGGTCTGACATTAAACCTCCCAACTAGAAGCCCGTCACGGTGAGCGCTCACGTCCTAGGCTGGGATCTTCCTAGACAAAGGTCAATGTTTACCTTAACTGGGCCTGTCTATTGCCTCTTTGTAGGTACAATAACCTACCTTTGGAAAGTCAGAGTAATCCCCTTTCTTTCAGAATCCTCAGGGCACAACCTTCCACCAGAGCAGGAGACCCGGGAACCCCTCGTTGTTCTCTTGCTGCCCAAATACCATCTCTGTGTCATATACGCTAATTGTTAACTATCCTGTGCCCACCAATGTAAAAGTAGTTGTCTCTTCATTTTATCCAGTCTCAGAAATTGCCCTGCTTTGCTTTCTCCCACCTCCTTAATTTACCCACCAATAGATGTCCCTCCTTATGACGCCTCCTCCTCTGATTCCAACGTGTAAAATAAACTTCAGAACTGCCCTTCTCCAGGGCATTTTCTTATTCTGTTAAGAGTTTGTCTCCTGGCAATTGTCAGTTTGGCTCAAATAAACTCATACAAATTCTTACAGGTTTGGACATTTCTTACGTCCACAGAGGTAAGAGTGGTAGAAGCTTACACACCTCTCAAAATCAGTGTACACCCCGTCACGCTGATATCGTGGTAGAAGGAAGCTACCAGTGTGTTGGAAGTTCACAAATCTGAAGTCAGGTGGCTGAGAAGCGAGCGGAGCACGGTGATCCGCGCAGGCCACCCTAGCGCCTCCGGCGTCCCCGGGCGGGACTGCAGTCCCCCTCGCTGAAATAAAAAGTTAGAGACGTTGCCATTTGCCTCTACAAAGCTTCGGCAAATTGTGACTCCTGAGGGGGCCATATGCGCACCTACGTTCCACGCAAGCTCAAAGCCCTTCCTTTCCGCACAAAGACGGCAGGAGGAGAGGTCGGCGCAGGCGCCCTAATACTCTCAATAAAAGGGTCATCATTCCGCCTCCTGGTGCAGAGGCAGGGCGACGCATGCGTTGTGAGGCTGTTTGCGACTTGTTTCACGCTGGAGAGGCGGTGACGTAATGACAGAGGAGGCGGTGGTCAAAGAACGGAAGCCGGGAGGGACCCAGGGCGGAAGGGGCCAGGCCAGGCTTGTGTTCGGCGCCTTGGCCGGGCTGGGGTTCCGATGTGGTCTCCGGAGCGGGAGGCCGAAGCCCCGGCCGGGGGAGACCCGGCGGGCCTACTGCCCCCCGAGTGGGAGGAGGACGAGGAGCGCATGTCCTTCCTGTTCTCCGCCTTCAAAAGGAGTCGCGAGGTGAACAGCACCGACTGGGACAGCAAGATGGGCTTCTGGGCGCCGTTGGTGCTGAGCCACAGCCGCCGCCAGGGGGTGGTGCGCCTGCGTCTGCGGGACTTGCAGGAGGCCTTTCAGCGCAAGGGCAGCGTCCCGCTGGGGCTGGCCACAGTGTTGCAGGACCTGCTGCGGTGAGGGCGGGCCCGGGCCTGGGGTGGGGGCGGCTCCCTGAGGGCAGGGAGCCAGCGCTTCTGTGACCGCGCACCGCGCCCAGCCCGAGCTTGGCTCAGAGCAGCCTGTGTGTTTGCTCAGTAGGCGAAGGCAGAGGAAGACGAGAAGGAGGCTGGGGTAGGGGAGTTTGGGGGCTGTTTGGGGGGAATATTGACGGGGTATGGGGTTAGTCCGATTAAATGAGAACCAGAGAGAGGAGAAGCCAGCCCGATGGATGTGACAATGATGCGTCAGGACTGGAATCCCATTATGGAGTTATTTTGCAGGGCCTTCCGAATTTTAATTATCCCAGAAGGTCTGTAAGATTTCTTGAGTGAAGGAACAGCTAAGGAGAGGGCAGTGGTGAGGAAGAGGCCAAGTTGGAGAGAGTGTCCCAACGGCCCATATATAGCACAGGTCATGCGTATGGCGAGTCTTGTCTTGTCCTTGGCACAGGCTCTTTGGGGCAGAGTACATGACAGATAGTGAGGGCTCTACGGAATATCTTAGTGCTCTCAGAAGGTCCTGTAGGTGCTACCTGTGCAACAGGTGCGGTGTTTGGGGATACCTGGGGCATGGCTGTCTGATGGATGTATAGCAGTTCACAGCGTACAGGTCCTTCACACACACCATTTCATCTGACCCCCTCAGCGGTCCTGTGGACAAGATGGCAGAATTATCCTCAGCAGACAGAAGAAGAAACTGAGCCTCAGTCCACACAACTTCCCTGGGGTTACACGCTAGTTAGAGATGATGGCGGGGCTGGACCCTGGTCTTCGGATTCGAAGTCATCTGTGCTTCACATCGTATCGGTCATACTCAGAGCAGCCTAGCCAGCCTAGTGCCTGCCTCCCTCAGTGAATGAAGAAGAAAGTCAACTTAGAAATGTTGCTTTTAGCTTCCTGGTCTTCCTGATCAGAAAGTCTCCCTTCCCCCCCTTACCTTACCATTGGCTGACATGGATGGGACAAGCGATTTCTCAGACTTCTCTTTTCTGAGCAAGTGTGCTGTGGACAAAGTTCTAGTTCATGCTTGAAGTGAGATGCGGGGGAGAGGGTCGCTGAGGAAGCCACTTAGGGACAGGAACGGTCTAGGCTTCACAATTGCAGCAGGACCATCCTCTAGCCCTTCTGACCCAGAGTCCTTTCATACCTCAGTTTCCCCCTTCCTGGCTGCTGTCACTGTGCTCACACTTCCTGGTGTTCGGCGGCACCTGGCAGGTGGAGAATTTCTGAGGAAGCTGTGCCCCGTGGGAGCAGGATGGCATAGTAATTAACAGCTTTGCTTGAGGGCCAGATGGCCTGGGTTCAGATCCTAATTCTGCCACTTGCTAAATTACGTGACCACAGATAAATTCTGCTACCATGGACAAGTTATGTACCCTCTGTAAGCCTCAGTTTGACCATTTATAAAGTGGTGATGATTGTTGAACCTAGGTTTATTGCGAAGATTTCAAGAGATAATCCTTGTGTGGTCCTTAACAAAATGACAAGCTCATGGTAAGCATTCAGTGAATGTAGCTACTACTACCAGTATCATGAAATGCTTATGTCTCCTCTCCACCCTAGCTTGGGAAGAGCAGAAAACCCTTTTCACACACTCTTTGCATTCTTCCTTATGCCTTGCATCTCACAGTGATCCACCCATTGTTATTTTCATTTTATCATTTTCGAACTCCATTTGTGAAAGGCTCATCATTGGCCCTGCATCCTCCTGTGCCTCAGCAGTCTTAGTGGAGAGCTTGCGCTTTGGACCTAAATTACAGTTTAGATTTGGCCTCGCTCACCTTCTCAGCCCCTCAGTTTCCTTATTAGCTAACGGCCGGTTAACACCACCTGCCTCGCAGAGCTGTGAGGCTTCGAGCTGGAGCGTAAACGTAGTAGCTGCTCATCGTAGCTGGCAGAATAGCTGCCTAATACATGATGGTGATGATGATGATGCTCAGACTCCTCGTCAGGGGCGGGTATGTGGGGACTGGAACAGGACATTGTATGATGCCTGCCGTATGCCCATTCTTTGCAGTCGCGGGGAGCTGCAGCGGGAGTCAGACTTCATGGCCAGTGTAGACAGCAGCTGGATCTCCTGGGGGGTCGGAGTCTTCCTGCTGAAGCCCCTCAAGTGGACTCTTTCCAACATGCTAGGGGATAATAAGGTTCCTGCCGAGGAGGTGCTTGTGGCTGTGGAGCTGCTTAAGGTGGGTACTGGGAAGGGAGGGGTCTGGATGCCCTCTGGTGTGATCCCTTGTGTGTATCATTAGAGAATGTATCTTTTTACTTGGTGACAGGTGATAATTGTTTACCTGGCTTCCCTTATTCTGTACTTTGGAGTATCATTTAGATGTTAGTTGGACGTCTGTTGGCTGGCCAAAAAGTTCGTGTGGTTTTTCCCATAAAATAAAAAACACACTTTTCATTTTCATCAACAACTTTATTGATTTGGATATTTTGAGTTGTCGGCTCTCTCCTGCATGATAGAACGTTGATTGTTCTCAGTTAATGTTTTGATCGCTATCAACTTCAACAGATCTGCTCTACCTTGGAGCACCGTCCAGTGAGAAATCTCCAGCATGAAACTTTGCAAACCACTTTTGACATGTTCAATCAGTCACAGCACTTTCTCCATCCACTGCACAAATGTTTTTTTTTGTGTGTGTGTATTTCAGTTACATTTTTACCTTTCTTAAAATAATAAAGCATAATATGCTGAAAATGTCGCTACTTCTCAAAATTAAAATGTCTACACAAAAATTCACCAATTTTGATAAAGTTTTTTAAATGCATGCTGATATGACAGCTGTCACAATACAATCTAACAAAATTGTTTCGAATGAAGTTAAAGGCAACTAAGCACTGCCTTATGGGGGGGAAAATGAACTTCTTGGCCATCCCAGTGTATGTCAAGGGTGAGCCTCTGTCTCAGAATCGTCAGTAATATACAGTTGATTATTTTCTGTATTTATAGGGATTCATGAAAAGCTGAATGCTTAGAAAATGCTTTGCCTTCTGTAGCTTGCTAACAAAAATTTCTCAGGATTCCTGAGGACCTTGTGACTTTCAGCTTTGCCTTCCTCTAAATCACCAAACTGCTTAAGTATTTCTCCTCTCTGGCTGTAACCCTTTCCGATTCCAGCTTACTAACGGCCTTACTTCCATCGAAGAGGCCTCCAGGCCCTTGGCCCCTTTCCGCTCCCCCGGTCGGTCAGCTTCCTCCATGCCTGCCTGCCCTACCGGCCTAGTGCACGCAGCTGACTCCTGTCTGATTTCCACCTCAGTACCCTCAGCTCATTTGCAGCTCTCCCCATCCACACCAGAGACTCCAGCAAACCCAGCCCCTTCAGTCGACCCCGCAGTCTCCATCCCTATCACCCTATCACCGAAACTGGGTCTGCTTTCACGGCCCCAAGCTTTAGGAGGACCCTCAGAGCCCCCCACAGCCTGGTTTTCTCGTCCTCTCCCAGCCCCTCACACACTCCTTCCACGCTCTGCCCTCTCTGCTCTCCGCAGACACTTCGTGGAGAAGGTAGGACCTCCTGAGTCAGCGCCTGCAGGTTTCTGCCTTTCCACCTCCAGTTTAGTTCCTCTGAGCCCCTCTCCCTGGCCACCCCTGGGAGGATGAAGCGTCCCTCCCCTCTGCCGCAAGTGCTCCTGAGTCTGTCCCTGTCCTGCTTGCCCCATCCCATCAGTTAGCCCCTTGTTCCATATATTCCACCTCCCTTTGGCGCTTACCCCTGTCAGCCTCTATACCCACTCATTGCCGATGTGTGACCTGGGCCCCTGCCTACTTCCGCTCCGTCTCTCTCCTTCCTCTTCCGGCTTTGTTGTCACCGCTTCCTCACCTCCCGCGCTCTCTTTGGCCCAGCACACACCTGCTTCGGCCCCACCATTCCTCCAAAGCTGCTGTGGACAAGGTTGCAGCGATCTTGGAGAGAACAAGCGCATGTGTGCGAATGTACAGAGCTGACAGAATGCCTGCTCGCAGAAGTGTAAGGCAGACAGCGGTTATTTTTGAAACTCCCAGACCAAACCCAGCATCAGGGTCCATGCATGGCCCTGGAAGCTTCCGCCAGCTGGAGCCAGCTCAGAATGCCCATTTCCCCACCCCAAGAAGAGCTCCAGTTTCTCCTCCCCTCAGCAGACCCCCAGCCCTCTCCGCCTCAGGCTGAGAGGGAGGTCTCTAAAATCGACCACCTCTCCTGGTCCCCCAGGATTTCTGACTGAGCAGCACACGTTTTCTTCAGGGAACGCCTCTCCCCACCTGCTGTCCACCCCCTCCCTCATGGTTATCCCCCGACCCAGCGCCCTGACCTCCAAGGCTCAGCCAGGGCCCCAGAGAAACTGCAGGATGACTTGGGTGGCGCTGGGCCAAGCCCCGCCCCACTGTGCAGTCTGACCTCCTGTGTTCTCCAGCCCAGAGCAGAGAGACGGGGGTCCATTTATCCCCACAGGTGTGGTTTTGGACTCAGTCTTTGGAGAGCAAAGGAAGAGAAGGGATGGGGGTGGAATCACACAGGTCTTCCAAAACCAGTGGTGGTATTTGTTTAGGTAGACAAGTCAGTCCTGTCTCTGGAGGCTCATGGTGCTGTTAACTCGGTACCCAGTCTGTGTCATTAGACAGAATGTGTAAGACTCAGTCTTGTTCAGTGACATCCGCTTTCTAATATTTGGTGACTTCACTGTTTTCCCCTGGGATGGAGACTCGTTTACCTCCTTGGAACTAAAGGTTCTTACCTGGATATTTTATAAAACAAAGAAAACCTCCTTCTGAGGTCAGTTGATATTTTCTCAGGTCTGGACATAGAAAACAGCCAATAACTTCTTACTTGAAGAAAGTACAGAAAAGAAGTTGCCCATAGATTTTGCTATTTAAAAAAATTATGCAAAGATATGAAAAATTCCCTTCTGTTTATCCCATTTCCTTCTCTTTGCATATGTCCCCTTTGTGTGTGTGTGTGTGTGTGTGTGTGTGTGTGTTCACAGACATATCTTTTCTTACTGACTCTGCCTCACGCTATTATATTACTTTCTGTTTTATTTCCTTACTAGCATTCAGTACTTCCTGAAAATGTTATTTACTTGTTTATTTATTTGTTGTCTCTCCTACCAGAAGGGAGAACTTCCTGGGACTTGGGACCCTGGGATCGGAGTCAGTAAATATTTGTTGAATAAATAATGAATATTCACATACATGTACCTGTGTGTATGTATGGAGGTGTGTGTGTGTGTATATAGATATAGTGTGTGTATATATACACACACACGCACGCACACACTCCATTTTCTTCTTTCCAGAAATGGAATCTTCTTTTACCTATTGGTCTGCAAACTGCTTTGTGTTCTTTTCACTTTAATATATCATGAGCATCTTTCCAGGCCCCTACACAACAGAGATTTCCTTCTTTCTTTGGGACGGCTGCATGATAGTTTGCAGATACACCACAGTGTATGCCGTAGATACCACATGGACAGACAGTTAAGTCATTCCAATTTCTCTATTATAAAAAAATACTTTTCCGATGGTCTTGTTCGCACATCTGTGTACTTCTACTTTTATTTTTATGGAATTGATTTCTAGAAATGTATATGTACATTTTACATTTTAACAAATTACCAAATTACTTTTCAAAAAGTGTGTACTACTTTATGCTTTCATCAAGACTACATTAAAGTGTCTCGTCTCCCCCCATCCTTGTCAGCACTGGATAACAGTGGTCTTTTAAAATTTTCCAGTTTGATAAGCAAAAATGATACTTCATCAGATCAGAAGATTTGAGCATCTTTCCCCCTATCTACTGGCCCTTTCCATGTCCCCTTCTGTGAATTACCTATTTATATCCTGTCTTTATATTGGATTATTTATCTTTTTTTCTTTTTTAAAAATATATGTTTTATTGATTTTGCTCTTACAGTTGTCCCGTTTTTTTCTCCCCTTTATTCCTTTGCCCGCTGCACATGCCCCCCCACCAACATTCCCCCAACCCTTAGTTCATGTACATGGGTTGTACGTATAAGTTCTTTGGCTTCTCCATTTCCTATACTATTCTTCCCTTTGTCTGCTTTGTACCTACCAATTATGCTTCTTGTTCCCTGTACCTTTTTCCCCCATCCTCCCCCCTCACCTTCCCCTCTGATTTCCATTTCTGTGATTCTGTTCCTGTTCTTGTTTGCTTAGTGTGTTTTTGTTTTTTAGGTTCAGTTGTTGATAGTTGTGAGTTGTCATTTTATTGTTCATAGTTTTGGTCTTCTTTTTCCTAGATAAGTCCCTTTAACATTTCATATAATAAGGGCGTGGTGATGATGAGCTCCTTAAACTTGACCTTCTCTGGGAAGCACTTTCTCTGCCCTTGCATTCTAAAGGATGGCTCTGCTGGAGAGAGTAATCTTGGATGTAGGTCCTTGCCTTTCATGACTTTGAATACTTCTCACCAGCCCCTTCTTGCCTACAAGGCTTCTTTTGAGAAATCAGCTGATAGTCTTCTGGGAACTCCTTTGTAGGTAACTGTCTTTTCTCTTGCTGCTTTTAAGATTCTCTCCTTATCTTTAGTCTTGGGTAATGTAATTATGATGTGCCTTGGAGTGTGCTTCCTTAGGTCCAACTTCTTTGGGACTCTGAGCTTTCTGGATCTCCTGGAATTCTATTTCCTTGGCCAGATTGGGGAAGTTCTTCATTATTTTTTCAAATAAGTTTTCAAATTTTTACTTTTCTTCTTCTCTTTCTGGCACCCCTATGATTCGGATGTTGGGACATTTAAAGTTGTCCCAGAAGTTCCTAAGCCTCTCCTCATTTTTTTTGAATTCTTGTCTCTTCATTCTGTTCTTTTCAAATGCTTATCTCTTCCTTCTGTTTCAAATCATGATTTGAGTCCTAGTTTCCTTCCCTTTACTGTTGGTTCCCTTTATATTTTTCTTTATTTCCATTTGCATAGCCTTCACTTTTCCTCCATTTTGTGACCATTTCTGTGAGCATCCTGATTACCAGTGTTTGAACTCTGCATCTGATAGGTTGGTTATCTGTTCATCACTTAGTTGTGTTTTTGGAGCTTTGATCTGTTCTTTCATTTGGGCCATATTTCTTTGTCTCAGCGCACCTGCTATGTTGGAAAGGCAGAGCCTTAGGTATTTGCCAGAGCGGGGCAGCCCAGGTCTCTATGTTGTGATGCTGTCTGTGGGGGAGGGGCCGAGAGGGAATAATGCCACTTGCTCAGTTCTTGGCCAGCTTTCAGTCACTTCCCCCACTACCCACAAGCAAATTGGGCCCTTCTGGTGCTGATTCCCGGGTGGGTGGGTTTGTGTAGGATCCCACGAGTCTTTCCAGTGGATGATCTTGTGAGGCTGGGAGTTTCTCCCACTGCTGCAACCCCCACAGATTTTTACAGCCAGAGGTTTTGAAGCTTTTTTTCCCCACTGCACTGGAACCCTGGGTTACACAATTTTTCTTGCTCCCCACCTGTTCCCGGTTTTTCTGCACGCAAATATGGGACTGCCTGGTCCACCAGCCACCACCTTGCCCTCCCAGTCTGCCAGCCACCGCCTTGCTGTGTGTTTTCTCCACCCCGGCTGCCCATCTCCGCCCCTCCCACTGGTCTGGATAAGTGTTTCTTTTTTACCTCCTTGGTTGTCGGACTTCCATACAGTTCGATTTTCTGGCAGGTCTCATGGTTTTTGTTTTTAAATTTGTTGTTGTTCTTTTGGTTGTGCGAGGAGGCAAAGTATATCTACCTATGCCTCCATCTTGGCCAGAAGTGGATTATTTATCTTTTATATTAATTTGTAGGAGTTCCCTATGTGTAATGTATATTTATATCTGTATGTCTGTGTGTGTGTGTGTGTGTGTGTGTGTGTGTAGGAATAGGGATGTGAATACTGTTTCCCAGTCTCTTGTTTGCTTTTCATTTTTCATTTATCATGTCTTTTCATTTAGACAAGTTTTCCTATTTCTATAGTCATACATCTCAAATTTTCCTTTATGGCTACTGAATTTCTGCTATTGCTTAGGAAAATACCCTCTTTTAAGTTTCATCAGATTTTTAAAATATTTTCTTCAAATTATTTTACATTTTTATTTTCTCAGTTTAAATGTCAGTAATTTGGTATTCATTTCTATATATGTAGAGAGGAGAAACTGTATTTTCTTCCAAATGGATAGCTATTTGTTTTTAACATCACTTACTAATGTTATGTCCATTAATCTATTTGTGTATGGATACCATCCTGTTCTCACTATAGTAGCTTTAATAGTAAGTGTTGTTATCTGGCAGGGCAGTCAAATCTAAGGAAAACTTTAGGTTGTATCTTACTAGACTCCTCTGCTGCCTTTGACACTCCTTGAAATTTTCCATTTCCTTGACTTTGTTGCTTCTCCTTGGTTCTCCGTGAGCAGTGTTTCTGGATCTTGTTTGTGAACTCCTTCATCTCTAAAACATTAGTGTTTCTTCAGCTTATTATTTGCTCTCTGAATTTCCTTGTGATTTAGTTGCCTTCTGTCTCTAGTCCTGGTGTCTCCTTGAGCTTTAGATTTATATGTCCAATTACCTGCTGTACGGATCTCCTTGGATGTACCCCAGGCATCCCAAACCAACATGTCCAACATGTAATGTTTTATTTTTCAATTAAAATATGTTTTTCCTCCTGTATTCTTGCTATTAACCAATAGCATCACATCCATCCAATAGTATCACTCAGGCCAGAACCCAGGAGGCGTGCTAGACTCCAGACCCAGTTACCAGGGACCGCCAGCCTTATCTTCTAAATGCCATTTCAGTCCGTCCCTTCTCTGTCCCCATTACCATTGCCCTGTTCAAACCGAATATCCTCTAGCGTGAATGGTCTCCCTGCCTCTAAGCCTGACTCCTACAATCTATCTTTGCCCAGTTGTCAGCGAGATCTCTGTTAATCTAACTATGTCACTTCCCTTCAGTGGCTCCCCGCCATCTGCCGAACGAAGGACAGCATAGGAGACACTGCGCTCTGTACCAGATGGAAGAGCTTTACGCCTTCCCCTTCCCGTCTGACTTGCGGACACCGCGCTGACTCACACTCCATGCTGCTGCTCTTGATGGCCCTTCTGCCTGAGACGCCCTCCCACCTGCCTCACCCATAAACTCCCTGCCCTTCCGAATTCTGCTCAACAGCCATTTGTTTCCAAACAGCCTCTGAACTCCTGCATGTATCTTCCCGGTGTCTCCAGTGTTCTGTGCATATCTCAGTAAATATTTCTGTTTTTCCAAAGACTGAGAGAGCAGTTTGCATGTAGGAGGAACACAGTGGCCTTGTTTCTTGGAATCTTTCTTTCTTAGATTTCGCATAAGAACCCCACTCCGCCTGCTCATCCCGTGCTTCTCTCCTGAGGACAGTAGTGCTCTCGCTTGCAGCATTGCCAGTTGACATAAAAGTGGACAGAGTAAGGGCTGGAAGGGAAGGTCGATATCTGCAGTGTGAGAGAGAGAGCCGAGGACCAGTGAGACGGGCCGGCTCGGAGATGCCCAGGCCAGGCTGAGAGCCAGCCTCAGCTGCCGTCCACGGCTGTTCCAGCCCCCCGCACCGCCTCCTCCCTCCCTCAGGAAAGCTGTCGGCCAGGGAGACGCCTAAACACACAGTCCCAGATGGAAGTGCAAGCACAACTGGCTTCCAGCACGTCATGGACCTCATTTTATCCCTCCCACCAAACTCCTCCAGCATTTACAAAACACAGATCTTTTTTCTTTCTCAAAGTTGCCACTTGAGGGAGGGTGGGTCGGCGCCCCTTGCTCTTGCGCTGCATGATTGTCGTTTGGAAGCAGGGGTCGGGGCTTGCCGGGTTCGGGGTGGTGGTCAGGGCCTGTGAGCATGTTCTGCCTTCGCTGCAGGAGAAGGCTGAGGAGGTGTATCGTCTGTATCAGAACTCCCCTCTCTCTTCCCACCCCGTGGTGGCCCTGTCCGAGCTGAGCACCCTCTGTGCTGGCTCCTGCCCTGACGAGAGGACCTTCTACTTGGTGTTGCTGCAGCTGCAGAAAGAGAAGAGAGTCACAGTCCTTGAGCAGAATGGGGAAAAGGTACGCGAGCTCGCCTGTCCATTCGGTAACTTACTGAGCATATACTGACGTGCCCATCAGCGTTCCTGCCTGGGGGTGTCTCAGCCTTGTGGTAGGGACAGCAGTAATTTGTCCCTGTCCCTTAGATTGTAAAGTTTGCCCGGGGGCCACATGCCAAGGTCTCTCCTGTCAACGACGTAGATGTTGGGGTGTACCAGCTGATGCAGAGTGAGCGGCTGCTCTCGCGCAAAGTGGAGTCCTTATCCCAGGAAGCAGAGAGGTAACTACCCCAGAGCCGAGCTCCCCCACCCCCTCCCTGCTGGCCCTCAGAGTCGGCAAAGCATTGGTGTCCGTGGGCTCTTTTAAAAAAAAAAGTCTGTGTTTGTTTTACTGATTACAAAACTACTCGCTGCTCAATACAGCAGCCATGGAAAGCATAGAATATCACCAAGGAGAAAAATGAATTTTAATTATTACGACCATTAACGTTATGTTCCTGCTCTCCCACACCAGTATCCACTTCAGCAATATTGGTTGAGCCAGGCCTTGTCGTGGGGACTTGGGGATATGGTAGTGAATACGACAAGTCTCTGCCTTCAAGAGGTCCCTGAGGGACCCCCGCTCTTCCCTGTGGACGGCCATACAAGGTGTCCCTGCTAAAGGCACATGAACACTTCTCCACAGAGTAGTATGTATAGGCACTAGATTAAGATGTACTTGTTTTTTTGTTTATTTTTTAGATTTTATTTATTTTTAGAGAGAAGGGGAGGAAAGGAGAAAGGGAGAGAAACATTGATGTGTGAGAGAAACATCAATGTGTGGTTGCCTCTCTCACGCCCCAACCAGGGGAACCTGGCCCACAACCCAGGCATGTGCCCCGACCGGGAATCAAACCAGAGACCTTTTCATTTATGGGACGATGCCCAGCCCACTGAACAGCACCGGTCGGGGCTAGATTAAAATGTACTTATTCACTCCATCACAGAGTGGGAGAAATCCAAGCAATGTGTCCAAAGTCATCGTTGATGTTAGGAGTTGATTTCCAATCCCCTGGCTCCCCAAACGGGAGCCCGTTTTTAAGGTGCCTTGGTGGCAGGCTCTCCCTGAGGGTTCTCAAGCGTACATCCCAGCTCGCTGCGAGAGTTTGGTGGCGGCTGTCGGGCACCTTTTTTCTTGCCATTGGGGGAGATGGATTCAATCTTCGGATCTGGAGGTGCTTTACCTAGTGCTATTCTGAGGGACTTTTCTGGACCCTGCCACGCAGTCTGACGGCACTGTCATCCCGATCTGTCCCTTCGTCTCACAGGTGTAAAGAAGAGGCCCGCCGGGCGTGCCGAGCAGGGAAGAAGCAGCTGGTGAGATCGCTCTTCCCCTCCAGCCGTGCGCCTGCGTGCTGGGCGGGCGGTGACAGGCGCCCCAGCAGCTCAGGGAGGGACTTGGGGCTCGAGGGGAGCAGCGTGCTGGTGGCCCAGGCACTGCAGAGGGAGGCTTGGGATGGTCTTAGCGTCTGGGAAGGCTGTCTCCCTCCGGCCCTTGGTTCTGCCCAGTGTGACCCTGACCAAGTCTCCATGCCCCCCAGGCACTGAGGTCTCTCAAGGCCAAACAGCGGACAGAGAAGCGCATCGAGGCCCTGCATGCCAAGCTGGACACTGTTCAAGGCATCCTGGACCGGATCTATGCCTCGCAGACAGATCAAATGGTAGCCGCTGCCCCTCCGCTCAGCTCCTGTCTGGTCTGCCCGGCACCCACCTCCCACCGCCCCCGCGTGGCTCTGCTTGGACGAGGCCTGGGATGTGTGCTGCCGTTTGCCTGAGCCTCTTGTGTTGGGAAGTTTGGGCCTCAGTGGACGTGGGGTGACTTGAGCATGGATTGCAAAACAACAAAAACAAAAACAAACAAAAAAACCCCCCAAAGCTGCCTTTTGGAGCTGAAACAGTATTGTATTGTGTTTTGCCCAGTGTTCGCCATTGGCACTGATAACTGCCTTCTCTTTAGGTTTTCAATGCCTATCAGGCCGGGGTAGGAGCCCTCAAGCTCTCCATGAAGGACGTCACAGTGGAGAAGGCAGAGAGCCTCGTGGATCAGATCCAAGAGGTACGGGGAGGGCCGGGAGGGCGGCTCCAGGAGGAGGTCACTGAGGACAGGTGGGACTGTGTCGCACTTCCTCTTTTCACAAACTGGACTGCTGACCTTGTGGACTTGAGGAAGCTGCCTCTGGTTCCCGGGCGGGGTAACAGTGCTATGTAACGCTGAGACACAAAGATGGAGGCCCGTGGAGACCACTCAGAGTTCAAGGCCAGCGCTTTCCCTTACAGCTGTGTGACACCCAGGATGAAGTTTCTCAGACTCTGGCTGGCGGGGTAACCAATGGCCTAGGTGAGTTGACAAGGTGGTCTCCCCCCCACCCCCATTCCTTGTGCTGTGGTAAAGTCGCTCTCTGGGGCTTACTCTCAGGAGTATTGGGAAGCAGTTGTCACTTCCTCCCTCTGCGCCCCAGCATTCCTTACTGACCAGGCTTCTGACTGGAAGATGGTTCTTTAAGGGCAAGAGGAAGCCAGGTCAGTTCTGTGGAGTTAGCAAAATACATCTTTTTAACAACTTAGCTCCACGCACAAAAAAGAGTGTTTGCCCGAAGGTGCCGTCTGCCTTCCAAGCCACGTGCTTTTTAAGCTGAGCTGAGTTTTGCTGTCCTCCACCTTTGACTCATAAATGTGTTCCTTCCCTGGGCCTTCTGTGTCCTCACATCGTCTTTTCTCTCCAGATTTTGACAGTGAGGAACTAGAGAAGGAGTTGGACATCCTTCTTCAGGATACCACCAAAGAGCCTTTGGATCGGCCCGACCATCCCAATCGCCAGTTTTATATCAACAGTGTGCCTGTCCCTAGGATCTCGGACGCTGAGCTTGAAGCTGAACTCGAGAAACTGTCCTTATCAGAGGGAGGTATGGAGCTGCATTCCCCGGGCTGCTGGTGGCCACGTGGCCCTCTGGCTGAAGGGAGCCGCACAGAGTTGATGAGTCCCAGTCCAGTGACTGACTTTGCGGGGTACCAGAGGCCGGGAAGGGATGTGTGGGCTCCTTACTTACTTATATTAAGATTCAGTGCCTTCAGCAGTGGGATGCTTCCGTCTTAAAGATCTGCCTGGTACCGTGTTCATCATTTTTTCTCCTTGCAGGTTTGGTCCCAAGCAGTAAATCTCCAAAAAGGCTATTGGAACCAACTCTCTAAAGCCATTGAAGGACCCTTATATAAAAGAGAGACCAGGCTTGTAAGTGTGTACATAGTTATTTAAAGGAGAAGCTCTCTGAATTTGTTGGGAAGAGGAGGAAGGAGAACCACTCAGATTTTTCTGGATGCTACTACTCACTACGGGACAGACACAGCTTCTGCAAGTGTGCTCCAGACTGCTCATCTTCATAGTGCCACAATTTACACCGTTCTGTGTGTGACCTGTCGTCCCTTAGCCTGCAGTTCTTGCCATTGGCTCAGTTAGGTTTGTCTTCACCCGCCAGCTTTGTTCCAGCTAATGGAGGTGAAAGACTTGAAACTTTGCTAAATCAAAATCAGTCCTTTTCCCCACCCCACTGTTTCTTAGAGGGATGTGTTCTGTCTGTACAGCCAGTTAAACAGCTTGTCCCAGTCCCACTCCACTGTCATTGGTAATGAGAAGAATGAGAATCCAACAGCTGCCACTTTATGCAGAAAGAGACAGTGTAAAAGGTTTTTCTCTAGGGTCATTTGTCACATTCTCCAGGTGTTCAGAAAAAGAGGTCACCCTGAGTGGCTCAGAGTCATGACATCTGGAGGGGGCTCGTGTGGTTGGTGGTCGCTGCTGCCTCTTCCATCTTATGCAGAAGATCTGACTGGAGAAAGGGATATTCTTGGAATTTCGAACTTGGTGGGGGGAAGCCCATGTGACTGACTGCAGGGCCCCAAGTGTCCAAACCCGTATGTTTTTTTTAAAGAGGCATAATCGCTGCCTTGCCCCATCATGAATTAACTTAAACGTACCTTCAGTGTATATTATCAGAACAAGCCACACAACAACACACCTCCCCTTGAGCCAGGCACACACCAACAGGCTCTTCGTGTGAATTTCAGAAGCATTTTGCTCTGTGCCCACCGCTCAGGGCAGATGACCTAAGCCAGGCTGTGCAATAGAAGCAGAAGATCGGGGTCTGCTGCCGGATCTGCTGCGTGCCTCCCGGTCCTGCTCTCTACCTGTCCCTGCGTCCTTGAGCCCCGTCTCCCTGCCTCCTTTGATGGGGGAGGATGGCGCAGCGGGACGGACAGGAGAAGGGAGCGCTGTGGCAGCAGGGAGAGGAGATCGCTGCCGGGCTGCACTGCCGCCACAGCGCAAGTACTCCTGCCTGGAGCCCTTCCGGGCGCCCCCGCCCCGCGAGGTGGGGTGCGCGGAGGGGAGGAGTCTGCTCCAGGCCAGGAGCTCCAGTCGCCTTTCAACAAATTTCCCACTGAAGCTGGGTCACCTGAAATGTTGGGGGTGAAGAGAAACAATCACTATTTTTTCTTTTTTATCTGGTAAATAATTAAAAGCCCGAGTACTTGTCCTTGTCTCTTCTTTAGGTTGCATCAAGTGTCGGTTCCTTCGTACCTCTCCACCCCAGCTCTGCGTGGACTTGCTCTCACTTGGGGGCCACAGAGGCTGTTGAGCGGCTTCATAGTTCAGGTGCTGAGCTGCATTGAAAGCTGGCCAGTCTCCCTGGTGGCTTTCACGCTGATGCTGGCGGAGGCCCCACGTCCTTTGAATGGCCTCCTTGGTTATAGGACTGTGCCATCATTTGCTTTTCCTTCGCCTTTGTTTAAATGACCCAATCTCCTCTGGCCATGGGACCCTGCGTATTTTAGTCTGGCACCAGTGTTTACTCAGGGCATTGTTTAGCAAAGCCTCAGGGACAGGCTTTGAAGCTGAGTGCAGAGCTAGGGCAGGCTCAGACAGCGGCCACGGCACTAGGCTTGCAGCTCCAGGTGAGTCAGGAGGTGAGCCAAGCAGGAAATGGCATTGGGAGCAGGCCCAGAGCAGGCAAATTGGACGGAAGACAGGCCGGGTTCTCGGAGGCTCCAGGGAGTGGGGAACACAATCCCCCAGCCCCTACCACTTCTACCTTTACCCTGCCCTCTCCCCCACTAAAAGCAAAGGACTTGGACTTTATGAGCCTCTTACCTGGTCTCCTGTTGCTCTTTCCCTTGTGGATAGGAGCTGCTGAGGGGTCCTTGTTGCGATGTCTTGGCCTGGTTCTTCGCTGTGCTACAGGAATTGAAAGACGTCAATCCTGTGTTGGATCACTTGGGAATAAGGAGCTGCCGTCTGGTGGTGGCTGTGTTTTTAGCATGTGATCCCCATGTGGGGAGGGGGGCAGAGTCTTAACCAGGATTCTCTCTTTCTCTTGCAAATATGTTTACTGATTTTAGAGAGGAAGGGAGAGAAAGAGAACATCAATGAAAGTCTGGTGGTTGCTCCAATGCATGCCTTGCATGGGTATAGAACCTGCAGCCTTTTGGCACATGGGACGACGCTCCAACCGAGTTGCACTGGTGAGGGCAGGGTGCTCTTGCCGAAGGAACAGACTTGGTTCTTTAAGGGAGCTGGTGGGTTTCTTATATGTGGGGAGGGGTTAGACTAAGGGACCAGGTTCAGATATTGCCTTTTTGAAACAGAAGTATCCTGAGAGGGTACAGATGTAAGAAAGTTTAGAGGGTGAGCACTTGAAGTTGGGGGGCCCAGCGACATCTTCATTGAGAGGGGACATCCAAACTGTCATTTCCCCTGGCTATTTCCTTGGGTATTCAAAACCTTGTGAAGCAATCTGCAAGTCTTAAAATACCTGTGCATGATTCCACTGAAATCAAGTAGGGAGATCATGTACTGAACCAGGTGGGGGCTGGTCCCGACTGGGAGTCGGAAGCCTGGCTCCAGTTTTCATCCCAGCCACCCGCTGGTTGGTTGTGTGGCTTTGGAGACCCCAGTCCCTCATATGCCATCTGCAAAGTGAAGCAAACAGGATGACCCCAGAAGTTCTGATTGCCTTAGTGTCCCCCTGTTATGTTCCTCCCTTCTCTTGAATCCCTGCTACCTCATGACAGAGCACTACTGCAGCAACGCCAGGCCTGGAAAGGTGGCTGGACAGTCCCCAGTCACTGCTGGCTGGGGGAGCGGGGTGATGTGGTGGGGGGTGGGGGTAGAGGAGAGAGTGTGCATTAGGGGAGGTGGGAGGAAGGGAGAAGCCTCAGAACCTCCTGGGCCTCCCTGAAAGGGGCTCTTAGCCACAGGCCTGGGCCCTGGGTGGCCTCTGAGTTACACGTCCCGCTGCAGCCATTGCTTACTGCCTGCCTGGAGGGCAGAGTTCAGGGTTAAGCAGACCCTCCCCCGCCCTACCCCCACCCTCAAGTGGTTGAGACATTCTGGCTCAGTCTGCTGGAAATGTAATCAAGGCAAGGCAGAAAGAGAAAGCCTCCCAACCGTTCAAAGGACAAGGCGGCAGACAGCATGGCTGATGCACAGGAAGCCCCCGAAGCTTGGCTGTGGGGCTCGTGACAGACTTGGCAGCCGCTTTGCTTTTGAGGTATTTTACTGTTTCCTCACCAGCATCTCACTTTTACTCAAGTTGCAGCTACTCTTCAGGGGAAAGCATGTTTGCTTATCTCCTCCAGCACACCAGCAATATGTGGTCATAGATGCCCAAACATGAGGGCGCAAGGACCTCAGCAAGTGCAGGGAAAGCCTCCATGTTACTGGGGAAGACGTTGAAGTCTAGGCGACCGAGCTCGCAGGAGAACTTTCATTTATTGATTTCGTTTGGTATCTGTTACCCCAATCCTCCCTCTCTCTCCCTCTCTTTTAAATCATTTTTTATTTTTCAGTTACAGTTGTCATACAATATTATATTAGTTTCAGGTGTATACCCTGTGATTAGACATTGTATAACTAAGTGATCATCCCAATAAATCTTGTACCCATCTGACACCATACACAGTAATTAGAATATTACTGACTATATTCCCTATGCTATACTTTACATCTCTGTGACTATTTTGTGACTACCAATTTGTACTTTTTAATCCCTTCACCTTTTTCACGCATCCTCCCAACTGCCCCCTCCCATCTGCCAACTTCCTTCAGTGGGGCTCTGGTGCCTGCTGAGTTTGCCCTTTGAGAGTGCTGCTTTGTGGAGGTGGTTGGCTGGTTCTTTGATGTGGTCTGAAGCTTTCCACTGGGTGCACTGGCTCTGGAGTCCCTCCGGAGGTGCAGGCCAAGGTCAGCCACCAGCTGTGTTTGATGGAACCACCCACCAGGAGCTATGAAGCGATCTGCGGATGGCTGCTACTCCTGCTGGGCACGGAGGTGCCCCAGAGAGGCCAAGCTCTGAACCAAGGCTGGGAGCCACTAGTGTTGGGCCTGGGGCCACTTAGTGACAGGTACTGGGTGCATTGAGGCCAGAAGCTGCTTATCTGAAATATTTTAGGAAAGTCTGAAGTGTGAGTCAAGACAGGCCATTCATATGAAAAAGCCACTGGAAACAGCTTGGTTGGGTCTGCAAGTTGGTGGGGCGGGGTCTCAGGGACTCACCAGGTCCAGTGGGGAGAACAGTGAGGGCCAGGTTGGAGGAGACTCAGCTATGGCGTCCCATGGGGGGAGCTCAGAAAAAGAATAGTGGCCTCTGCCAGCACTTCTGTCTGGGAGCAAGCTGCCCCTTCAGCTCTCACCCTGAAGCCAGACAGTTCAGTTCCTCCCCGTCTGTCCCTGGTGCCCTTGAAGCGGCTGCCCCAATGCTGGAGCTTAGAGGGAGCGAGTCCAAGTAAGTCTGTGCGTGGGCCCTTTAAGAGGACCTGCCACCCCTGGCTTCTCTTAACACAGACCCTCAAAAACCACACAACTCCAAGAGAACTTCCTGTGGTTGGTGCTCGGTGGTTGGTGGTCGGTGTCACTGCCTTGAGTTGGCAGATAGCTTACTCTGGATTGAAAATTGCCGCTCAACTAGCTGGCCAGTTTCCCATTTTTAGCGAAACCAAGGACAGTCTTCAGCCTGCTCCTTTGCTGATATGCACCACGAAGGTAACCTTCCTGACTTAGATTTTGTAGCAAGCACATCAACGATGCAGGAAAAAAATGCAGCTGTGGGCTGCACAGCACTCCCTGAAAGGGCCAGACGCAGGCCCCTCATGAGATAACCAGTGCTGTGATGAGGTGACGCGATACCCCCAAAGCATGTCATGAAGTGCAGCGCAGATCAAACCTCAGCCAAAGGACTTCTAGTCCTCTGCAAGGTATAATGCATGTAGGCTGGCTCACTGGAGTATCGCATCAGGGGTGAGCCCAGCATAAAAGAAATGGACTTAGATTATGCACTTTGAAAAAAAATTCAGCTATTTATTCAAAATATCATGCTGGATGTCCTAATCCAGGAAAGTTAAAAATTAACAAATGTGCGCAGTATGTGTGAGCTAACAAATCAGCAGAGGAAGGATGGAAGTTTGAGGAAGTTTAAGTTCCTGCCCTCCAGGAACTTAAAGTCAGACGAAGGATGTATTAGTCAATCTGGGCTGCTACAACAAAATACCAGAGACTGGGTGGCTTTAAACAACAGAAACGTATTTCTCTCAGTTCAGGAGGCTGAAGTCCAAGATCGGAGACCAAGCATGGTCTGGTTCCCCGTCTCGCATTCTTGGTGGTGGACAGAGAGCCAGAGAGATGCCTGGAGTCTCTTTTACAAGGGGACGAATCCTATTCCTGAAGGTTCTGCCCTTATGGTCTGATTATCCCCCAAAGGCCTCACCTCTTAATACCATTATATCAGGGGTTAGGATTTCAACGTGTAAACCTGGTGGGTGGAGGTGGGGGACAACACAGGCCTTCAGACCACGACAAGGGCCATTCCAAGATGTCAGCACAAGGACGGATCAGTGCGGCACTAACGTTTGCAGAGCAGGGGCTGGATGGGTCAGGAACAAAATGCCCAGTCTTGGACTCTTGCTCCCGTTTTAATGCAAGAACCACAACAAAGAAAGAACAAGAGCTCACACGGACTGGGTACTTCCTGTCTGCTGACCACTGTGTTGTGGGGGGCGGTTCTCCAGAAGCAGACCCGAAGGTCACCTGGGGCATCGGGATCACCACCTGTGAGGGAGAGGGGGATGACGCAGGATGGGGAGAGGAAGAAGGCCGCCTGAGAGCAGGCCCCCGAGACGCTTGGCCGCCCTGGTGGGGAATTCCAGCATGCCCATTATCCAGCGCCGTCCCACCTCAGGCAGAATTGCCAGGCTCTATTCCCACCCTTCCCCCTCCATTGTCAGGTGTCCCTGTGAAGGCGGCGGCCTCAGCTCGGGTGGCTCTCTGTGGCTGAGGCAGCCCCTGAAGGAGCTGGCATCGGCAGCGGGCTGGCTGCTGACCGCCGGCCACGAGCCCTTGAAGGGAGGCCTTGAAGGGAGGTGCGTCTCCGTGGCTCCCACTAAGCCCTTGGCATGTACTTAATCTTTCCAATGGGATGGTTACTATTATTTCGTAAATGAGGTAATGGAGGTTTAGAAATGGTACCTA